ATCGATTCTGGAACGTCATCTTGGGTCACCGTCTGTGGTAGTGGCAAACTACTTAACGCCTCTGCGCTGTTGTCACGGCCTGGTCGAGACTGCAGATCATAGTCGTACGTTGACAGGGTCATTGCCCACCTCTAGATGCGACGCATGCTCTGGAATGGTCTTCCCTTCGCCGAAGAGATGAAGTAGAGGCTTGTGATCTGTTATAATCCTAACACTGCGGCCTGAAATGTACTTCTGCCACTTTCTAAATGAAAAAATCACAGCTAATCATTCCCTGTCGATCTGGGAATAATTAGTCAGCTTCATTGAGTGAACGACTTGCATAGGCCTCCGGCCTCTCTGTACCATCGTTTTCCACATGGCAAAGCACTACACCTACCCCTGTGGGGCGAGGCATCACACACAATAGAACTATCTTTCCTGGGATCGAGATGCACGAGTAATTTCTCGCTAGACAAGGCACACTTTTCTGTGTTGAATGCTTTCTTATGCTGTGATCCCGAAGACCAACGACTGGCCTTCTTGAGAAGAGCGTTAAGAGGGGAAAGAAGAGAGGCGAGATTAGGTATGAATCTCCCGTAGTAATGTATCATTCCCAGAAAGGATTTCAGGTGAGGTGCCTCCCGTATAGCTTGAACCTTGTCGTTCATGGGCTGAATGACTGTTTTGTTGAGGTGTTAACCCAAGAATGTCACCTCCGGCTTGAGGAACTGACACTTTTCCTTCCGCAGTGACATACCTTTCGCTTTGCAGATGGAGAGAACCTTCTGCAGGCTTTCCATGTGCTCTGTGTCGTCTTTAACGGTCACGTAGAGGTCATCTAGGTAGTTGACACAGTTTGTCCCGGATCACGCTTTTCAAAGTCCGAGGAGGACGCAACCCCAAAACATAAACGTTGATAGCTGAAGAGGCCTTTGTGGGGGTTGATCGTCGTGAGATCCGTCGATTCGTCGTCTAGCTGCAGTTGTGTGTGAGCATGCGAAAAATCGATTGTACTAAATCGTTCGCCTCCCGAGAGCACATACACAAAATCCTCAATGCGTGGAATTGGGTATTTGTCGTTATTGGCTTTGTTGAGGGTCATCTTGTAGTCTCCACAGATCCTCACAGTACCATCCTTGTTCTTTACTAGTACTATCAGAGTAGCCCACTTAGAGAAATCCACGGGTTCAATGATGCAGTCTTGCTGTAGACGACTCAGCCCCTCTATGCTGTCCCACAAGGCGTAGGGTGCTTGTATCGCCTTATAGAACTTCGGGGTCACCTCCGCGTTCAAGTGTAGCTTCACCACCACACCATGGAGACATCCAGCAGACGAACTGAAGACATCAGCATGGTCGTCCAAAAAGTCGCTTCAGCTCACTACCACTGGCCGGTGTGTTCACGCTAAACACAGACCAGTCGACGTGGAGATGTTGGAGCCAGTCGCTGCCCAAGACACTGGGACCTTTTCCTTTCACAACGATAAGCATCAGCACCTTACACTGGCTACCTTGAGTCACTTTCTCCTCATTCTCTGTCCCACCACCTTCAGTTTCTCCCTTGTGTACATTCTGAGAGAGATCGAACTTTTCTGAAGAGGCTCCTTGAAAAGTCTTTCGTATGTGTCCTCACCCATCACTGTGAGTGAAGCTCCAGTATCCACTTGGAACTGCCCACATTTGTCGTTCACAACTAGTTCTTGTACTATTGGCAGTACTCACAGTGAACAGATTGGATACCGTATCTGAATCAACTAGCCCTACAACTGTCTTATGAAACTTTGAACTTGTCTTTTTCTTCTGTTTATACATTTTCGCTACATGGCCTGTCCTCTGACACTTGAAACACATTTTGTCTCCAAACTTGCAACATGGCTACCACCACATCTGTAACAGACAGTACTGGATTTGCTAGTGTCACTCTGAAATTTTGACTTCACCACATTCACTCCTAGGCTAGCACCATTCAAGTCATTGACACCGTCTGTGGCTGCTTCCATCGCCTGTGCGATCTCTATATTTATGTGAGGCAGCGTGGTGGAATCAGGCTCTCGTCAAAATAATGAAATCGAAGAAAACAGCAGTTTTCTCACTACTTTGCAATTTTAATCAAATTTTTGTATTTTGGCTACAAGCCTTTTATGTTCATTTACAAACACATTCCTTTGAGGATTTCACCGAAAACGTTTGATTAAAGGCACACAAATATAAATTTACAGTTTCCATGGACTCTCCAGCTTTGGAATTTACCAAGCTTTGGAGGCCCTTTTCTCGCTAATTTTACCTCTTAAATCAGGTGACCCCCACATCCTTCAATCCGAAATATCTCCACTTCTATTGAAGATCGGTGGGTATTTTTTTTCATTGAAAGCAAGACAAATGAACAAGCGGTAAGATGATACCAATAACTCAATATGCCCCAAAATTGACGAGAGCCTGATTCAACCACGCTGGCTCACCTATAGTCTTTTTGTAAGTAAGGTCTTTCTCTGATAATAGTCTCTGTTGTACGTTAGTATTGTTAATGCCACAAACTGTCCTATCACGCAACATTTCTTCCAGACTGTCACCGTACTCACAAAATTCTGATAGTTTCTTTAATTCTGAAATGAATGTGCTTACTGATTCACCAGAGAAACCTGTCCTTGAATTAAACTTGAAGCGTCGCACTATTGTGGAAGGCCTAGGGTTGTGATGTTCTGTCAAAACTGTTCACAATGGTGACCTAGTCATGATCTGCCGTTCTGGCTGGCGAAACTAAGTTCTGGTTAGACAACAGTTTGTAAGTCCTAGCACCGATACAGCTAAGAATTAACAGCTCTCTTCTTTACACTTTTTTCAATTTCATTAGCAATGAAACACTGCTCTAGACGTTCAATATAATCTAGAAAAACTGTCTGACTTTTCATCATATTCTCTAACACTTCCACTATAGCTAAAGCCATGTTGAAGAAATTTTTCAAAGTCCAGGTTCAATTTCAAAATGTCACAAAAATCCACTTTACAGAATAGAATAATCCAGTTAGATGAATTCTTTGAAGTTCCACGAGTTTAATCCATCGACGCCAAATGTACTATGATCTTCAAACTTGTTATTCCCAAGTGTGAGTGTGTGTGTGTGGGGGGTG